TGGTCTTTAAAAGAAATTGTAAATTTAATGGTAAATATTAATAGATATGCTCCTTTACAAGGAGGTCTTAGTACATTTACAGAATTACCAAAATTTATAAGGGACAAACATGCAGTTGTAAATATAAAAAATAAAGATGAATTTTGCTTTCTTTGGTCCATCATATCAGCTTTACATCCTGTTGAAAATAACTCTTGCATTACTAGTTCTTATCCTCATTTTAAAACCGTATTAAAATATGAAGGAATTAATTTTCCCATTGCTATTACAGACGTACCTAAATTTGAAAAAATGAATAATTTAAAAATAAACATTTATACCATTGATTGCACTGAAAGAAAAAAATCGGATATTGTTCCTTTATATTTAAGTGAGCAATATTCTGAAAAACCGACAATTCACTTATTAATGATAAAAAATCAAGATTTCGATAATGATTTTCATCATTTTGCATGGATTCGTAATTTGTCTCGCTTGGTTAAATCTCAAATGACAAAAAGTAAATGTCAAATTTTTATTTGTGATAGGTGCTTATGTCATTTTAAATATCAATATTCTCTAGAAAATCATAAGCTTGATTGTACAGTATTAAACAAATGTAGAGTGAAATTACCAAACGAAAAAGATAATATTTTGAAATTCAAAAATTTTAAATTTAAAGAAAAAGTTCCATTCGTTGTCTATGCCGATACTGAAAGCATTTTAGAACCAATTAAAGATAATAAAATGGTTTCTTCTGCATATCAAAAACATGTGCCACATAGTGTCGCATTTTACCTAAAATGTGAGTTCGATGATTCTCTTTCAACCTTTGAACTATATAGAGGAAAAGACTGCATTTTATGGTTCATGAATAAATTAAATGATATCGCAAATCTAGTTGACTCTTATTTAAAGAAAATCGTTCCAATGGAACCTTTAACTTATAACGAGGAATTAGAATTTCAAACTACTGAAAATTGTTATATTTGCGAGAAACCATTTAAATATAATGATATTAGATGTAGAGATCACAATCATTTAACAGGAAAATACAGGGGAGCTGCCCACCAGGAATGCAATATAAATTATAAAAATTCTCATATGATACCAGTCATTTTTCATAATTTATCAGGTTATGATTCTCATTTTTTTATAAAAGAATTATGCACGAGTTTCGAAGGATCTGTTAAGCTTTAGCCCATAAATAAAGAAAAATATATATCGTTTACTAAATACGTAGATGGAAAAAATGTGTGTCTTAGATTTTTAGATTCTTTTAGATTTATGCCTAGTAGTTTGGATAAATTAACAAATTTTCTTCAAAATGACAAAAAGAAAATAACAGCAAAATATTGCAAAAATATTAATGAATTTAATCTATTAACAAGAAAAGGCGTTTTCCCATATGAGTATATTAATAATTGGGAAAAATTACAAGAAAATCAATTGCCTCGTAAAGAAGAATTTTATTCCAAATTGAATGATTCGCAAATTTCAGAAGACGTCTATACTCACGCTTGTCATGTTTGGACCACATTTAATTTAAAAAGTTTAGGAGATTATTCGGATTTATATTTGAAAACAGATGTTTTACTTTTAGCAGATATATTTGAAAATTTTCGAGAAACTTGTATTTCAGCTTACAATCTAGATGCTTTACATTATTATACTGCACCTGGGCTTGCATTTGATGCAATGCTAAAATTAACAAAAGTGGAATTGGAATTGTTGACTGATATAGATATGGTGCTTTTTTTGGAGAAAGGTATTAGAGGCGGTGTCTCTCAATGCTCAAATCGGTATGCAAAAGCAAACAACAGATTTATGGGGTCAGATTTTAACGAAAATATTGAAGAATCCTACATAATGTATTTTGATATTAATAATTTATACGGTACAGGAATGTGTGAATTTTTACCTATTTCCGATTTTCAATGGGAAAAAAATATATTGGACTTTGATGTTTTTAAAATTGAGGATGATTCTCCTTATGGTTATATTTTAGAAGTGGATTTAGAATATCCTACAGAATTGCATGATTTGCACAAAGATTTGCCCTTATGCCCGGAACATTTTGTACCTCCAGGTAGTAAATTACCAAAACTTATAACTAATTTATTTTCGAAGGAAAAATATATAATTCATTACAAAAATCTGAAATATTACCTACAATTAGGAATGAAATTAAAAAATGTTCATAGAATTTTAAAGTTTAAACAATCACAATGGTTAAAACAGTATATTGATTTAAATACGGATTTCAGAAAACACTCTACTAATGCATTTGAAAAAAATTTTTATAAATTACTGAATAACTCGGTTTTCGGAAAAACTATGGAAAATGTAAGAAAACATAAGGATGTTAGAATAGTGACAAAATGGGAAGGTAGATTTGGAGCAAAAGCTCTTATCAGTAAACCAAATTTTCATAGCTGTAATATATTTGATAAAAATTTAGTTATTATAGAACTTAATAAATTACAAGTTGAAATTAATAAACCTATTTATGTTGGATTCACTATTTTAGACATATCTAAATTATATCTTTACGATTTTCACTACAATTATGTTAAAAGAACATTTGGTGAAAAATCGAAATTACTTTATACGGACACAGATAGTTTAATTTACCATTTTCATGTTACAAATTTTTATGATTTTATTAAAAGAGATATACGACTTTTTGACACGTCTGATTACCCACAAAATAACATCTATGGTATTCCATTAGCAAATAAAAAAATTTTAGGACTAATGAAGGATGAATGCAATGGAAAAATTATTACTGAATTTGTAGGATTGCGTTCAAAATTGTATACCTACAAAATTTTTGGTGATAAAAATGAAAAGAAAAAAGCGAAAGGAGTAAAGGGTTCAACATTAAAAAAAATTACAATTCGTGATTATAAAAAAGCACTTTTCAATTTCAAAAACTTGATGAAATCACAGCATTTCATAATAAGTAAAAAGCATGAATTATATTCCATAAAACAAAAGAAAAAAGTTCTGAGTTGGCATGATGATAAAAGAGTGCTTTTACCCAAAAGTACAAATACTGTACCTTGGGGTTTTCAAAAAATTAATAATTAAATTAAATCAAAGGTGAAAATTACATAATCATATTCATAAAGAAAGAAACACCCATCTTACTCCCCCAGAGGGAGAACCTTATCGCACTCTACCTTCTTCTTTCAATCCATATACTTATCTCTGTCTCAAATATTCTAAACAAAGGCAGGGTATAAAAAGGAGCTTGATTAAGAAGGAGCTTCGTTAAAGAAGTGACAATCAAATAATAAAATATATATATATGAATATATATTTTAAATAGAGTGAAACAAGTGACCCATAATTAATTAAAAAAATTTTAATAGTGAATTTTAATAACGATTGTTATTTATTTTCATAAATTGTAAAACAATTAAAAAAAAATTTTATTAACAATTTTTAAAAATTTAATCGCGATTAAATAAAGTGTGTGTGTTTCTTCAACAACATCTCTTATAATTGTAAGTGTTTTTAATTAATTTCAAGCAATATTCCAAAAAAAAAATTTTAATTTATTTGAAATTTAATTTTTCAAAAATTTTAATTAGTAATAATAATAATTAATTAAATTAATTATTTGTAGTCAATATTCAATTATTTAAATTTTCTTTTAATTAATTAATTATAAGCAATAAATAAACAATATTTCATTTATTAAACATTTAATTCTTTTAGAAATAAATTAAAATTTTTTTTAATTAATTATACGTAATATTTTGAATATATTTCACTTATGTAAAATATAATTTTAATTTTTTAAAATTTTAATGTTTGAATTCAATTTTCTTTTAGGTGTTTAGATTAAATTTTTAAAATTTTAAATTGTTTGAATTCAATTTTCTTTTATTTTGCTTTAATCAAATTTAATTTTTTTAATTTTTATTTTCCATTAATCAAACTTAATTTCTTTATTTTAAAATTTTAATTTTTTTATATGTACCTTAATTAAAAAAAAGTTTTTAATTTAATTTTTAAAAATTTTAAATGTTTAAATTTAATTTTTCATTTATTTTGGCTTTATTAAATTTAATTTTTTTTAATTTAATTTGAAAAAAATTTGTTAATTCCAAATTCTCAAATTCGAATTTTTAAATTTTTTATTTAAAATTTTTTATTTTTCATTCATTTTTAATTTTTAATTTTAATTTAAAAATTTAAAAATTTTCTTTAATTTTAAATAATTGATTTTTAATTCTCTTTTATTTTGCTTTAATCAAATTTTAATTTTGTTACTTTCTTATTTAAAATTTTTTAAATTTAATTTAATAAAATTATTTTTGATTTAAATTTTTTTTTTTTAATTTAATTTAAAAAAATTATTTTTGATTTAAAATTTTTTTAATTTAATCTAAAAAAAATTATTTTTGATTTAAAATTTTTTTTAATTTAATTTAAAAAAAAATTTTTTTGATTTAAAAATTTTTTTAATTTACTCTTTAAAATTAAAAAAGTTTTTAATTTAATTTAAAAATTTTTAAGTTTAAATTTAATTTTCATTTATTTTGCTTTTATCAAATTAAATTTTTTTAAATTTAATTTAAAAATTTATGTGAATTCCAAATTTTTAAATTCGATTTTTTAAAAAATTTTTTATTTAAAATTTTTATTTTGCATTCATATTTAATTTTTTTATTTTAATTTAAATTTTTTTAATTTTAAAAAAATTTTTTAAATTTAAAATATTTTATTTTTTTTATTTTTTTATTTTGATTTAATCGAATTTTAATACTTTTTAATTTCTCATTAAAAATTTTTTAAATTTAATTTTAAAAAAATTATTTTTGATTAAAAAAAATTTTTAAATTTACTGTTTAAAATTTTTTTTTAAAAGTAATTTGTTTCATTTATTCTTTAATAAAATTAAATGTTGTACTCCTTCAAAATTTTTTAAAAATTAAATTTTTTTAAAATAATCAATTAAAATTAACAACTTTAATTAAAATTTTTAAATTAATTTATAGGATAAAAAAACATGTCATACACGAGGCATTTCATCAGAATTGAGGCTCCATCAGAATGGCTATATGCATGCTCAAATGGATCCACTTTTAAGCAGCTGTGCATCGTCTCAATTGCGATGCGAGCCAAAGATTTGGCAAGAAGAGTTTTAAGCTCGCGAGGAAAGACAACTATTTCCTTTAATAACATCAAAGGGGAGGTCAGTCAAAATCAGTATGGATTTGTTATTAAGAGGATTTTGCAAACAAATGAAGTAGTAAGTAGGCTGTAAATAATAAATAAATAAATAAGAGAATTTTAATAAATATAGTTAATTATTGTAACATTAATATAATATAATAAATTAAAAATAAATTAAATCAAAATTGTTATTTAATTAATTAAATTAAGTTGTTTAATTGCTATTAAAAAATAAATTAAATATTTTTAAATAAAAAAAAGTTATTAAATAATAGAAAAAAAGTAATCATTTTTTAAGAAACTAATTAATTTTTTTTTAGAATTGTACGTATGCTGCATTTGACATTGCTGTGGATGTTCCATCGGAATGGCTATCGGAAAATGTGGACGTCCATAAGCTGAGAAACATTTTAATGGTGGCCATCGCAGTGACTAACTATAACTGCTTCTATGACAAGACGGATGATGAAAGGGCATATCTACGATTTATGAATGTAGTTGTTGAAGTTTGCAAAATCAACAACTCAACATTTCGTTTAGAAAGGAAACCTGATTTGCATATCCCGCGCTACTTCATCTATCCCAATTTTGATTGCGGTTTACAGGACCTGGATTGTGATGAATTGGAGATTACAATTGAAGAGTGCTTTTCCAGGCATGAAAATCAAGGAGAAAATAATGCTAATAGAACCAGAGAAGAAGAAGAAGACTTGTGTGACTGCTGTAAGAAGGGAATCAAAGCTAGAGAAAGAAGTGAAGGGGACATGGACTCGGACGTAGGAGAAGACGAGGTGGACGAAGAAAAGGAGGGGAACACTGACGAGACAGAGACAGAGACAACGATGGACATAAAAGAAGACGAGGTAGATGAAAAGGAGGGGAACACCGACAAGACGGAGGCAGCTGTGGACGACAAAGAAGAGGAGAGTCACAGAGACGAGATAATCTTATAATAATAATCTACCTATGCTTATATATTACAAAAAAATTTATAATAATAAAATAAATATGTATCAATAAAAGTTTATTACTGGAAAAATTTTTTTTAAATAATTGCTGTTAAAAAAAATATTAATTTTTAACTAAATTTGTAAAATTATTATTAATAACTTTATTTTTCAAAAAGAATATTGATAATTTAAAAAAAATATTTATGAAAAAATTGAGTTAAAATAAATTAATTTTTTTAATTAAATTAAATTATTTATAAAATATTAACTAATATATATTTTTCTGAAAAAAATAATGGAATGGTAAAAAAATTAAGACAACTAGTTAAAGAAAAATTCTTTTATTGTTTATAATATTCGTTTCAAAAAATTACAGAATAAATTTTTAAAATAGAGTATTTATACTAATCGTATGACTTATGAGTATACGGAACTGACCGCCGACAAATTCTTCACAAGGCCAAGTGATTTGATACATCAGTAAGTGATAAAATTCTTTCTCTTATTTCTTTCACATGTGATTTATTTTACATATTCCACTAATTTCAATTTTAACAATTATTTTTTTCAATACTTTATTATAATAAAAAAAATAGTTGAATTTTAATTTTTTTAATCTTTAAGAATTATTAAAATTCAACTATTATTTACAAAAATAAAAAATTATAAATTACTTAAAAAAAATTTTTTTTTAATTTACAAAGCTTGATTTACTTTTCAAATTGGATACATAAATAAATGGTTAAATTCTTTTTCTCATTTCTTTAACTATATTCAAATATGATATTATAATTATTATTTAATTAATTTTTGTTTAAAAAAATTATACAATCTTTCTTACAATACCACTTAATGGTTTATATTCAACTATGCGGTCATGCAAAATTAGACAATATGCTGAAGTGATAGGGGGAAAATTTTCTCTTGATTCAAATTCTAAACGGATATCAACAGGACCACTTTTTAGTGCTTCATTTTGTTTTGAGCAATCTATTACAATTAAAGGAGCATATTGCAAAAATTCTTTTTTCGTCAAAAGCGGTTGAGATTCTTTTCCATAATAAACATCTTGAAAATTAGTGTACATTTCATACAAAGTAGAATATTGATTTCTATTAATATTAAGGTTCATATTACTATATGGATAACTTTGCGAATTTAAAAATAGCTTTACATCAGAAATGTTACAATGGTCAAAATGACTGGAATTTTGCGTAGTATTATTTTTCCTGTTTGTTTGAAACCCTAATATAATAAATCTAGGTTTCTCTAATTGCGTTGAAGTTTTTACGCTCCAAATATGTTTTTGCGTTAATGGTAATAAAGGATACTCATATAATTCCCATGTTCGAAAACTAATTGAAATCGACGGATCCTTTTCTATATACTTTAATAATTTAAATTTTCGAGCATCTGATAATTTTAAATACGGTAACAGCCATTCGACTTTTTCAATGACAATTTTATATTCTTCAATAGGTGCAGTTTGACGAACTACATTTGAATCTATTCTTGATCTTGTAAAAATGAGCTCATGTTTAGCGTTTACAACAATTTTTTTATAATCTTCAGCAAAGCCGAAAATCATATTTAACGGAATACAAACATCGAAATAGCCTTGTGCATTAGTCAATGTTGCATCATTAGTAAAGTCTAACCAACCAACATTTTCAAGAAATTTGCTTTGAGTAGCATCAAAAGAAACGTAATTTTTCATTAAGCTTGTAATAGCTACATTTTTATTTTTATCAATTTCTACACCATTGAGTTCGTATTTTGCTTCTTCAAATAAATGGCAAACGCCATTAGAAACCAGAGATGTGTGTGTTACAGGCGTTCCATCAGTTTTCAACAGTTTTCCACTGATATGAATTGAACTTTTGCTCAGAAGTAGACAATGATCTTGATTCTGTACAGCGATTCGAATTTCGTCACTATTATTGTACGTTGATGAGGTGTATGGCTGCTGAGTGTGCACTTCATAATGTGCAATTGACTCATCAAAAATAATTGGTTGTTCAATATTTAACAGTTCCTCGTCCATGGCAAAATATAATAGTTCTATACACAAATACACAGACACAAGAACAAAATATTTTAAATCTTTTTAACCTCTTCTGCTTCTTTTTCCAATTTTCAGGCCTAATTTTTTCAGGAGTTTTAAATTTTGAGGTGTTAATCTTTTGACAGTTTGTCGTTGACTGATTTGTTTGTGACATGGTGTTTGTATTTTATAACCAAAACCAATCTTGTTTCGATTATTATTATTATTATAAACAATTCCCATTATTCAACAGACTTTATGTGTAATCTGATTGTTATAGTTTCACCACGAAAATTAACTAAATGTCCGTCTTGATCAACAATTCGTAATTGAATATAGTCTATTGTTTTGACAGAGACTGGTAAGTAAATGACGTGATTTGGAACTTCAACTATCTTATATCCTGGTGGAACAATAGGGAAAAATTGATGAATTGTATGTACTTTTTCACCGTTAATATATGCACCTGTAGTTATGTTACATTCTATACGTAAAGAGTTGACTTTAATAATAGACACTGGTTGATCTGATTCATGATAATCTTTAGCTTCTAATTTTCTATGGGAAAATCCTAATAAACGACCAATAGAATCTTTCGGTTCAAAATTAATTTCATCGTCACAATAAATAATACATTTTAAAGTATTATTGTTAGGTTGAATACTAATGTTGCAATTGCGCATTTTCAAAATTTTTTGCAAATCTCTATTTATATCACTTATTTCATAACTTCCGGTTGCCATAAAATAAACTTCATTGCCTACGTAAAACTTATTGTTACCAACATCTACATTAGGTATCGAATTATACGAAAGAAACTCAACAAGTCCGAGTACATAAGATTTATATGGTGATAACTCGATTGGTGGAAAGTATTGAGTTTCTAAAATGGAAGTATTTCCAGATAACGTTAATATAATTGAATCGTTCATTGTGATTTCTAATAAGTAACTGAATATAAAATTAATGTCATTTATTTATATACAAAGAATACATGTCACAAATATTTAATTGGTTACATAAAAATTTTAAACATAAATGACCACACACATATGTATCATAATTTTGATAATTTTCATGATTATACATTACATAATCAACACCAAAATATTGAATAAGATCCAAAGGTGGACATAAATTACCAAAACTATCAAAGTAAACAATTTTATTTTTATTTTTTTTATATGCACACCAATGAGTTCCAGGTCCATCTTTGTCATCCAAATTTATTATCCCTGATTCATACATTCTAGGACCAATTATTGGTAATTCATTGCGCATAAAAATTCCACGAAAATGCGGAATTTTCAATCGTTTTACTACTTTAAGTAAATCAAAATTAGTTAACGCACGTTTTGGTAGCTTCACTTTGACGTTTTTAAAATTTTTCTTTTTTTTTTTAATCCTTGTCCCTGCGTATGAGGTTTTAAATGAAGTCCTACGCCTTGTTTATGAGGTTTTAAGTAAAGCCCTTTGCCCAGGGCAATAGCTTCCATTGCTTCATTATGACGTTTTTTTTCTTCAAGTTGACGTTTCGCATCTTTTGCGTCATTCACAGCTTTTGCAACACCAGCTGCCCCTCCTGCAAGTGCCCCTGTAGCACTGAGCCCAGCAAAGATTGGGATAAGAAAAGGCAATAGGCCTCCTACTTTAGTTGAAACTGGTAAAATTCGAGGTTTTTTTATTTTCTCCTTTCCACCAGCTCTTTTTACAGCGACACGCGCTCCAAGTAACGCAGATTTAATAACAGCATTCATATTATCATCCTTTGGATTAATTGTTTTTTTAGCTGCTGATATAATATTTCTTAATGTAGCATTTGTTCTTTTCTTTTTTTTTAGTCCCATGCCTAATTTAGATTTTGCTTTCATGGTGTTTGTAATTGTGTAAGCAGCAAGTTTTTCTCCAACTCCTGCGTCTGGTGCAAGAACACGATTCCAAGCTTTTTCTGCAAGCACTTTATCTGCAACGTTCCTAGCTTCAATATTTTCCCTATTTCTTAAATAAGAAATGTCGTGTTCTCTACACGCTGCGTCTAAAGGATTAATTCCTTGGTCACCACGAACAAGTCGCTTAGCTAATTTTGTTCCTGGACCACAAAACTGATAGCCAGGAATATGTAGTTCAAATGGTAAATTATTTATAATTTTATTTAAGAAGCCTTTTCCACGTCTTATCCCTTTGAAGGATTGTTTACAACTGACTCGTTTTTTATTTGCGTGCACAATCATATCCTTCCAAATACAGAAAATCAACTAACAAAATTATCTTTATAAGCTGAGTATTTATACATTTTTCTTTAGTTTAAAATACGATGCAGTTTAATGAACAACATATCAAATTACCCGTTATTAATTTCGATACGGTAGTGCAAAAAACTGAAAATAAACTGCGACATGGTAATTTATTACCGAATAGTGTGCGAGCAATATTTTGTGGACCTTCCAACTGTGGAAAGACGAATGCTTTACTTGCACTTTTAATACATCCAAATGGATTAAGATTTGAAAATGTCTATGTTTTTTCAAAATCTCTAAATCAACCAAAGTATAAATTTTTAGAAAATGTTTTACAACCAATAGATGGCGTAAAATATTTTCCATTTAATGAGCATGCAAATGTTGTTTCTCCAAGTGAAGCGCGACCTAACTCAATATTTATATTTGATGATGTCGCGTGCGAGAAGCAAGATAACATTAAAGCGTTCTTTGCTATGGGTCGACACAAGGCCGTCGATTGTTTCTACTTATGTCAGACGTATGCTCGTATTCCAAAACATTTGATACGAGACAATGTAAATTTATTAATTCTCTTTAGGCAAGATGAAATGAATCTTAAACATTTATATGACGATCATGTTAATACTGACATGTCATTCATAAAATTTAAAGAAATTTGTAATTCTTGTTGGAAAAATAAGCATGATTTTCTAGTAATTGATAAAGATTCTGATATTAATAATGGTAGATATAGAAAATGTTTTGACTGTTTCATAAAATTAGAGGAATAAAATAATGAAGTGACAGTCTCTTTTTGTACATTGAATGAACAACATGCCTTCTGTTCAAGTTGAAAATTTGCGAAAACAAAAAAATATATTGGGAGAAATTGCTAAAGCAAGTGATGCAATTCGACGGAAACATAGATTGATAAAAATAGGCAAAGAAGACATAGAACAGTCCTTAAATAACACCTTTAAACCAATAGTAACTCCAATTCAAAAACTAGCTGATCAATTTGAAAATGTCAAAAATATTCAAACACCGAAAATTGAAATAAAAAATGAAGAATTAAAACAAGAAAACATTTTTGATCCCAGTGATGATAATTTGTACTCAAAACAAATAAAAGATGAAGATGAAGACGAAGACGATGATCTTGAAATATCATTTAAAACTGCATCTTTAAATAGTAGTTCAAATACTATAAATGCATCACCAAGTGTTTATACAAAAATTGTAAGTGGATATTTGCAATTATTAGATAAAAAGAAAAAAGATTTAGACAGTATATATGGTGTGCGAAAATTAGTTAAAGGATTAATGATTGGTGATTCACCGATTAGTTTTGAAGAGAATAACATCTTAATAAATAATTCAATTTATCCTGTTACCAAGGGTTTACTTGAACTTTTATTTAAGAAAACTCCAGAAGAAAATTTTATAAGTTTACATGATCGCGAAAATTATGCAAATATTATTATTTCAACCAATGCGCACAAAAAGTATTATAAAGCTGATGAAACTATTCGTGAACAGAAAAGTTTGAAATTTCAAAATTTTATAGCAAAAGAAATATCTTCTCCCAAAGCAGGAAAAAGGAAACTTGGCCGTGGATTAATACCAAAATATATGATAAATAAAAAAAATAAAAATATTGATTATATTTATTGGGATGATCCTAATGAATTAGTGGATCGATTGCGATTACTTTTAGCGTCTCAAGCTGCTGGAAATCCGAGTCATAATAATGAAATTTTATCAATAATTGAAGAATTGCGTGAAGCAAAAATTGTTTATTAATTACGTGTTTATATATTTTAACATCATTTGCAACATGAGTATCGACAAATTCGGTCGTCAGTTTAAAAGCGTAGAAAATCTAAATCGCGGGCCTCCAGGCCCTCCAGGGCTTGGTTTTAAGCCCACATCAGATGGAAATTTTAACACAGAAAATAGAAAAATGTGTAATTTAGCTGATGCTGAAAACGAAAGAGATGTAGTTAATTTAAATATTGTTAATAGAATTTTAAAAACTGAAGTCAACGCCATCTATGATGTAACAAACTCCCTAAAAACTGCATTAACTGATAATAATGTAAAAATCATAACTTTAGAACAAACTGTTAAACAATTTTTTGATGATTTAAAATTAAACAGTAAAAATAATATAGACGTGTTTTCTATAAAAGAGATTATTTCTCGATTGGATAGCAGATTGAACGCATTGGAGTCTACTCAAGATTTGAAAAAAAAATAAAAATGGATGCCCAAAAACTACAGTTGGTTAAGGAATTACACAAACCAGCCAGACGAAATTATAAACGAAGAAACGTTGACATTCGAGATATTGACGAAACTTGGCAAGCTGATCTTGTTGAAATGCAACCCTACGCACGAGAAAATAAAGGTCACAAGTATATGTTAACTGTCATCGATATATTTTCCAAGTTTGCATGGGCTATTCCTGTAAAATCCAAAAAAGGTGAAGATGTAACTGCTGCAATGAAGTCTATTCTAATCAAAGGACGTGTACCGAAAAATTTACAAGTTGATAAAGGGAAAGAATTTTATAATTCAAATTTTCAAAATCTTATGACAAAATATAATATTAATTTGTACTCAACTTTTAGTAATTTAAAAGCATCAATATGTGAACGATTTAATCGTACATTAAAAAATAAAATGTGGATGAAATTTAGTTTTCGAGGTAATTATAAGTGGATAGATATTTTAAGCGATTTGGTATTTTCATATAATAATACTAAACATCGTACTATT